CAAAGTTAATTATTTGTAATTTAAAAAAATTGTTTAGTATTTTCGTGCAATTTATATCTTAAATAAAACAAATGTTTCTGATATTTCGTATTTTTATAATGAATGGTAAATATGAATGCGATATTCTGTGCTGTAATTCAGTTATAATATTAAATCTTGGAACAACTCCATTTTACCAATGACAAATTTTATGACTATCTTCCTTGCTTTACTCTTATCTAGCTAGCTTTGTTTAAATGAAGATTGGATTGCTTATGTTATATATCATTTCAAATTTCCCATTTTATTTTGGAACGGGTACAGAAATACACGTGATATTTGATGAAGTATGTAAATATATAAATGTAATTTATCCAGTGATCAGTAATATTAATGTTTATATGATTTTGTAAATAAAAATGAGAAATCTATGCAATATCACTAAACTTATTAACATAATTATACTTGATCAATTTAATTGTCCTCACAAATATTACCGAAGTTTAAAAATTTTAATTTGAAAATTTTGAAAAAGCGTTTTCGTTTTTGTGTTAATATAGATACTGATAAATGATAATGTAAAATAAAGCACGAAATAAAAGGAAGAAAAAATTAATCACAGTTTAGATAATTTGGATGGAATTTTAAAAACAACTATCGAAGTAGAAAAAAAAAAAGTGTGAAAGGGAAGTTGTTTATTATATTGCATGTTGAGAAGTTAGTTAGTTTAAAAGAAGCGTGTTTTTGAGTTGAAAATGAAATGAAATGAAATTGATAACAAATCATTTGTCATTTTTAGCTTTTTTTTCGATATGGTTACTGATTAGGTCTTCGCATAAAAAAAAAGAAAAAATTAAATTACCAGTGCAATGTGCATCTTTTCCTTCTTTTATTGTATAAAAACACATTTCACACATATCAATTCATTTTTTAATTTTTACTGTAATTTTTTACAAGCAGTAAACTTAACTAATTTTTCTTTTTTGCTGATAATGCTGATAACAGTTTTCTTATTAAGCCAATAGATTACTTCAGGTAAGTGTTCATGAGATGTTCATATAGGAAAAAGAAATTCTGGATCATTTCACACCTTATACGGCTAATTGAAATTAAATAATTGATAGCTTTAGCAAAATTTATCAGTAAATAACTTCATCAATTTGATATTTAGCTTCTTATCAAATACTCAATTGTATTATCAGTAGCTGTGTTACTATGAATGAATAACGATCGGAAAATTTTGATATGATATGAGCAAATTATCATAATTGCACCATTACTTTTTGCATTGTATTTTAGATATTATCCATCTCAATATTATCCATTTTTCAGATCCTATTACATCATAAAATGATGGTAGCATTTACGGGCAAAATATTATCATTGTTATCAGTAAGTTTGCTAATATTATTACAAGAAACAAATAGCGCAACAGTTACTATGTTGGTCAAATTAGGTAGCACTGTGGATATTCATTTTGGTGACAGTGTTAAAGAAGTTAAAACTGAAAAAATGATTGTAAAGGATGATAAATTGACTGATTTTGCGGTTTGTCATTTTTTTACCTTATCAAAAAAACTTTTTTTTTCTAAAAATTCGATTGAAATTATAAAAATTTTAGATTAATAAGAATTAAAATAAATTATAGATTAATACGAAATTGATATTATTCCTAAATTAGAATTGCAAATATACAAAGTAATAATGCATTTATTGATTCTAGGATCACTGAAAATTTCAAATGTCATATAGCGATCATTCAGTAAATATGTAAAATGATTCTTTTTTAAAAAATTGCCTGACAGAAGTAATAAAATCTGAAAACTGATTTATTATCTTTCATGAAATCATTTTATACTTTCCGTATTTGTAACGGATCAATCAATGAAGACATTTCAGCGAGAGGAATTTGGTGATCGTATCAAATGGTATAATGGTAAAATGACAATCAAAAATATTAGATCATCCGATTTATCCACTTTTTTATATCATTTATATGGTAAGCCAATGGCTCTTTCGTTGGAAGATGGAAGATAAACTTTATTTGTCACATTTATATTTCTAATTTGAAATAATTCAAATTTTCATTGTTCATCTTCGTAAATAAAATGAAAAGTAGAAGTGCAAATGTCATGAAATTATTAAATAATGAATTTATTGTTGAATTATTCTGATACAATATGAAATTTCATATTCATTTACAGAAAATTTATCGTTCTTTTTTTCGCTGTATTATTTTTTCATATGAATCAATGAAGGAAATTATGAAATAATAGTATAATTTATAAATTAAATTTATGAAATGTTTGAAATTTAAACTCTATTCCTTCTTTTGCAAGCCAATACCACAACCAGATCGATTCAAACAACCAAAACCTATAAATTGGCAATGTTTGAGTTCAATCAAAAGTTGAAAAAATTAAACGAATCTGAAAAATTCTTTAGTTTTAGTCTTTAATTCAAACAATATGATTAATTAAATCTGACTATTGTTCTATTCGTCTTTTATAATTAATTCCTGTAAAAGTAATGCTTAATTAATTGCTACATGATTTTTTTTTTTAAAATGATACCTGGAATAAATCGCTTTCTTGAATACATTGGTGATCCGTATCTTGTGGCAAACGAATTACCATTATTTGTGAGCGCAAATGGTGTATATGGGTTTAACAAATATGGATTACCAAGCAAATTCATACCCATATTATTGGATAGTAGCATTGGATCATAACCTATTGCCATGCCAAAACCGCCAAATGGTCCCAAATATGCTATAAAATATCTTTTTTTTTTGAATCTAACAGTTTATTGATTTTTCATTTTCATATTCAATAATAATGAATTTCTTGTAATTGTTTAGTATCAATAAATGATTAATTTTTAAATCTTACACGTGTCATTCACGTAAAGAAAAAAAAAAGGAATAAAGTTAACTTACGATTTAATAAGCCAGGTGTTTGAAAAGCACCAAATGCTCCATATGGTGGCATAAATTGTGCTATTGTTAATTTTGAAATTGTAAATATTAATAGCACTGATAATGTATATGAGAACATCGTAAGATTGAATTACTAGAATTACAGGTAATTAACTAACTTTAAATTTAAATGTTGAAACTCATTACGCTTAAACAATACGGTTCAATTAGATTTGACTATTATTCTACTCATATAATTAATTTTCATAAAAGTAATGCTTAACTAATTATTAAAATGATTAAAAGTGATACCTGGAATAATAGCGTAAATTTACAATGTTATATAGATACTCGGATTGAAAGAAAAGAGAAAAAGCAAGAAGTTTTATTTTTATTCAGTATATAGAATATAGAATTTACTGTGTTATAATTTCTAGTGTGAATCACTTACAATATTTTAAGATATAGTTACTTACTCCACGAAATATTGGAGAAACATTGTCTACATCGAGAATCTATTAAATAAATTAATTATGTGACATTACAAAGTAAGTTAATATCGAGTAAGTTAATTATGCACCGTAAGTTAATTATATGCCATCACAAAGTAAGTTAATTGTGCACACGTAAGTTAATTATGTGCCATCACAAAGTTAAGTTAATTATGCACACGTAAGTTAATTATGTGTCATTACAAAGTAAGTTAATATCAAATAAGTTAATTATGCACATAAGTTAATTACGTGTCATCACAAAGTAAGTTAATGTTAAGTAAGTTGATTATGTGTCATTACAAAGTAAGTTAATATCAAATAAGTTAATTATGCACACGTAAGTTAATTATGTGCCTCACAAAGTAAGTTAATATCAAAAATTATGCACATAAGTTAATTACGTGTCATCACAAATGAACTGATCAGAACATATATATGCTAGTTACTAATACATTTATTTGATTTCAATCACTGCTTCAACTTTTAATTGTGCTGGGTTTAAATTTAAATTTAAATTTAAAAAAAAAAGGAAAGAAAGAGTACGCGTTATGACCAATCTGAATAGCCATGAAAAAGTGTCATTAAAAAAGTATCATCTTTACCTTTCTCTACACTAACAAAATATAATAAATAACTTTTAAGTGAGATAATTGAAAGAGAGAGGGAGAGAGAGAGAGAGGGAGAGAGAGGGAGGGAGAGAGAGAGAGGGAGAGAGAGATGGTAATCATTTTAAATGTTAATTTATAAGTGCTCTCAATAAATGTATGTATGTCAAGCATGTTCAATAATTATTACTGCACGATTTTTGTAATTTATCAAATTTTACAATTTTTGAAACCCTAAAAAGAATTAAAATATATTTTGACATATATTACATAGTTTCAAAAATTATATGAATTTTTAAAAAATTTTTAAATCACAAATAAAATTCAATTGCAAATAAAATCAAATGAAACTGAGAAATGATGAGTGAAAGAAAGAAGAAATATTTTATGAAAAACTGATAAGAGCTGTTTAACTTTATGATATTATGCTATTATCAGTGATATATTATCAGATATTTCACATGCACATATACTCTGTGATAAATTTAATTAATTATAAATTTTTATTCATTACTTTTCATTTCAAATATTTTTCATTGGGTTAATGATCGTGTTGCGATATGATAATTCGTTAATTTGAAATTTAAACTGAAACTGGACAGGGAAATGTTTCGGGAATTCTTCTCTGAAGTTATTTTTCTCGAGATTTTTTATAAGATAATGAAATTGGCCTCTTTTTGTTTTCATATGTTTGAAAAAAATAAACCAGTTATATTTGGATTAATAAAATATTTAAAGATTATTTTTTGTGATGTTTGTCAGATTTTTTTTTTCGTCTGATTTTTTGATATTGAAAATAAGATTTGAAATGAATTATATTTAGATATGTATATGTAAATAATCTGTAAAAACAATAGAAAAAGATATGTTTGTCACCAGAGAAGTCTGAAAAAAAAACTTTATTAATTAAAAATTTTATTAGACAAAAATTTTAAATCTACTAATAATTTTTGCCCAGTTATTTCAAAATTCAAATTTTTAAAATGAAATAATTGCAGGATCTCTATGGAGTTAAGTGAGCAATCAAAGCAAGAACAGCAGCAATCGGAGAAAGAAGGATTTGAATATATCGATGTATTACTGGAAAATTTGGAACAACGTAGACTATTCGCTAACGATGAAAATTCTTCCATCCATTTGTATTTTTTTTTTCCTTTGTATCATTTAACAGTAGCACATTTGAGAAGTTTAAACTATTGAAATAATTTAGGAAAGAAAATTTTAAGAAATTAATGAAGGACAAAGTTGAAAAGTAAAACAATTAACTTTTTATATTATATTGCTTTTTTATAATATAAGTAATTTATTTTTATAATCCAATTATGCTACTGGTATTTTATTTTTCATAGCTAAAAATATTTTGTTACTACTTAGTCAGCCATATTCATCTTTAAATTCATTTCTTCTCCTTACATTGAAGCAGATAAAATCGCCGATATAATGCATATAGCTACGAAAATCTACTTACCTAACCATTATAGCTATGGTAATATACAAATACGAAGCTTTCTATCATCACTTTAATTGATTTTAATTATTACTTTAATTAATGTTTTTTCCGAAGTTTTTATTTGAGGAAGAAATTTTTCTACAGAAATTTACATTCCTCTAGAGAGGCGCACATTTTTAATTATTTTTAATTTGATTTTTGCTAATTTCAGCTCCTTAAACGATGTCTACATGCTTTACAAAGTGGTTGCGGAGGAGTTCAGTGAAAAGTTACATCAGAGTATATTGAATGGTGATAATGTGGAACATTTGACTCATTTTCCGGATTTACTGGAAGTCTATTGTACTGCTGATCGGAACTCACAAACTGCAAATGTAATATCGGACGGTCAGTTAATCTGTCAAATTTTGGTCATAATGTTTTTATATTTTTGAAAAGAAAGTTCATTTTTTAATTCCATTACTTATATTTACGCTACTAAAAAACATCTAAGTGAATTATGGTTACAATGTAATTGATTTGTATATGATTGAAGACGAAATTCTTTGAAATGTTTTGAATTATTATCAGATTTTTTTTTATATTCTTATATTTTTCTTCAGAAATATTTTCTTCAATTCCGAAAAAAGTTTTAGAGCAAATAATATGGACGATAGGAGAATTCATCTCAGTTCTTTCATCACCGATTGTTTACAGAAAATTTGGTGGCCTTTACCAAGATTGTATTATTGAGCTCATTAAACTTCTACGACCACCTGACATTCTTTTCGTGCAGAAACAAATTGTTTTAATTTTAAAGGGTAAGAAATTTTTTCTCTGAAAAAAATGAAAGAATTCTGTTATCAATACTTTAGACCTTTTGGTAACAATCCACTTTTTCCTAATGCTATTGTTATTAGAATCAGTATGTTCGTTAATTTAGAGTTACAAATTCTAGTTTACGTAATAAAATTATAGGTGATATGTTATGTCCAACTGTGCCTCAAAAATTCTAATTTGTTTTTTCTTTTTATGTTTTATTTTATGATGAGATTTAAGCCATTTTTTTTTTCTCATCCAGCATTGAAGTTATTTGTATTACCTATATTTGTTGGTAAAACTTCAGATGTGGTAGATAAAAAATGTCGTTTGGTATATAACATTAACAGCGACCACGGACAAGTGAAATTCGCCACCCCAATGGGTGATATCGTTTTAGGACCAGTGATATTTACAATCACTTATTTATCGGGCAGTGATTCAGTTATTCAGGATGTCTTACTGTTAAGTTTTTTGCAATCATGCTCTGATTTTATAACAATTATTTATTTTAATTACTACTTATTTGTGCCGCTGTTCTTTAAGTTACTAGTAATACTTCAACATAAATCAACATAAAACAATCAACATAAATTTGAATCATACATTTCTTTTCAGATCAATTTTACAACATGGAACAGTGGATGAAACAATTATGCAAAACAATGATGTTTTGATATATCTATGGTTTTCTTTGTTACATGTTATCCTTATAGGTGTATCGCGAGTGAAGAATGTATGTATGTTCAACGTTTTCGTATAGATAATGATAATGAGTTTCAAGATTTATTTTGATTTATATCTTCAAGTTCAAGTTGAACAAATCTATACCAGATTTTTTTTTTTTTTTTTTTTTTTTGGTTTAAAAAAATTGTATATTTATATTAATAATCTTTCACTGATTGTTCAATTTATTGCTCAAGATATGAACGTAAAACATTTTGGGTAATATAAATTTCATTATATTATTTTTAATTCAATTACATTACAATTTCTTCTACTGATCGAAATGTATATTTAGCAGTTCATAATTTACCAATTGTTCATTCCCATACAATTTACAAATTTATTATTATTAATTAGTGCCAATTTTATTTCTTATGCTTTTTACAGAAAGCAATATTGCTTACGCAACGATTGCTTTCAATGGATGCGTGTAATCCAATGTTTGCGGATTTATTATTTGATGATTTAATGGCCGTAGAACGATGGCTTTATCATTTGGCACCTGAAATATTTGGTAATGAAGAATTACGCCTAAAAGAAGCGTTAGAAACTTGTGAACGTACTTTTGGCGATGCTGTTCGGAAGTGAGCTTAAAATTTCAATGATTAAAATTTGCAAATCTTTAATATTCTCTTTTTTTAAAAGATGCATCAAACAGATCATTTTATTGCTTCTTAGTTTGTACTTTCGAACACTGTTTGAACTTCCTAAGTTCGAACTTAAATACAAAATTTAAGCAATAAGAATTGGAATCTAGCCTTTTTAAAAAAAAATTTTTTTTTTATATAAGTGATTATCCATGCAAATGGTATTTTAATTCGATGGTATTAGAAAATTTCTTTTTTCTGATTCATAATCATAGAACATCAGTAAAACTATAACATAAAAAGTGGAGTATATATAAATGAAAACAAAGGAACTATTAAAATCCAATTAGGCGAAGCATTTTTAGTATCGATGAATGCGAAACATTCAATAAAACTGATTTCTCTTATTTCCTGAAATGGACAGAACAAATTGCAGAAATATGCTCTTCACATGTAAGACCAGGTATGTTTTCAAAATCAAAAACTTTTCAACAATTGCATTTCTCTCAAGATTCTTTTTTCAGATTGTCCTATTTCTTTGATCTTTCGGATTTGGTTTTTTTTTTTTCTTTTAAGATTTTTTTTTAAAGTGATTTTCAATAAAAATGTAAATTGCTGTTTAATTTCGAAAATGAATCGTATAGAATAACACTGCAAGTTGGGAAGATAATGCTTAACTTTTTTATTCTAAAACTGATAGATACTTTTTTTAAAAATATTTCTGTAGTTAAAATTATGCCGAAAAACTAAATACAATTTAATATAGGCCGAGGCAGATAGATCAATTGCAATTTTTAATTTGTGGAATAGTGCCACGAGTTGGGGATGGTTTGATATTTTAGTGTCCAAATGCGACAGAGAGAATAACAGTAAAATATTAAAGAAAAAAAGATCAGATAGAAAAAAAAAATGAAAAACATTGTAAGTAATCAAAAGATAAATGACTTTCGGATTTTTAAAACTGAATTAGGATTTACGGATTAAAGAATTCGTTTCTTCTACTCATTTCGACCGCAGTTTTTACTTACAGATGAGCGTTTGGTTAATATGTTGATCGATTTGTGCTCTGTAAATTTACGAGTTGAAAAGAGTGTTCGAGAGCAATGTTGTGTTCTGTCTACTTATTTGTATACAGTTGTGAAGAAAATTTTTCAATGTGAATTACAAATAAAAGCCGAAAATGTCGGTGAATTATTTGAGTTCATTTTTGTGGTGCTGGAGCATAACGATATTAATTCATCGTAAGTACCAATTTTATATTAGTCAATTTTTTTTTTTTTTGCTAAATATTAGCGGTAATACTTAAAGACTAACAAGGTTTTCTTTTCAGGATGATAAGATACGATAGTATTTCTAAATTTTTAATATATCTAAAGATTTAATTTAAAAAAGTTTTTTTTTTTTTAGATTACTGATTAATGAACTTACTGAACAGTTAGCACTTGCTCGACAACGTTATTCTGAAATCGAGGTAAGTATATCTTTGTATATAGCCACAAAATTTTATCAATAATTTGTTTTTAATTTTAAGTTGGAAACATGGAAAAAAATTTTTTAGATGACGAAATATTTGCGAATAAGAGAAATGATGATTGTTGCATTGAAACAAATATTGGAAAAGGATAAAAGCAGTATTTTTATTGCTAAGATTATTCCTGAAACTGCAGAAGTAATAGAGGTGAATTTTTAATTTAGTTTAGTTTTAATGTACAATCAGAAAGATAATAGGAGGAAAATCGTGAAGATTACAAGAAATTATATAATTTATCATTAATTTTTTGTTTTAACTAATTGTTATATCATTTTTATGGTACTAATGCTTTGCACTTTTGTAGATAAGTGAATGATTTTTGGTATTTGTAGAAATCAGTGTGTTGCAAATTTAGAAAGAGAGACACTCTTCTTCACTTACTTTTCAGTTTACATCTAATTGAATTTTTATGAATTGTGAAAAATAAAGTTAGGGGATCAACGAAGATAGTTGAAATAAAACTTTCTCAGCAATTCACAATAGGATTTATTTTTTGCAGTTGACTTATATGTATTTCGAATAGGATCTTATTTTATTCAATTTGGTTTCTATAAATGCATCTTATTGTAAGTAATTCTCGAGAAAATTTCCCTTACTTTAATTTTATTCAGATTATTGAAAATATTTCAAAAATGCCAGATGTTGCTAAAGAGACTCTAGCTGCATTAATTTCACTTATCTCATCGTTCACTGAATGTGTCGAGAAGGAAGCAGATTTCTGGCTTTCTGTTATTTCATTACCTTGGCTTCAAACAATGGTGGAATTGTTTTTTTGTTTATTTTTATAAATGATTTCATTTTTGTACTATTTAAATTCGCACAAGTTGAGGTTTAGCTTTCGGAATTTGATCTTTATATGCTATAGGATTGGGAACATAACTGACCACTATATATTTAAAAACAAAAAAGATCATTATATAACTAAAATCTGTAATTTTCAGGAGTTGGTTGCTGATCTGAAACATTTTGATTTAGCATTACCAGCGTTATCAAAAATTTACAATTTATCACTACGTTGTAGTCAATATTTGTGTAAATTTTTTGGTTTATTCGGAAAATTTTGATTAGTAAGAAAGAATAAAATAGTTTTTCAGTTTTTGAGTCTTTCAGAATTTATGTTAATACTAAAATCACAATGGAATTTAAATTTTAGCACTTGATATCAAAGCCAGTACGATTCCAGCATTGGGTCATTTAAATGTTTGTCCGGAATGGCGTCGCAAAGTATACATTGCAGCTTTAACATCGGTAGAAATATCTTTACTGAGAACAGCTGTAGAACATTTTCCTTCTTTTATTTTCTCAACAGGTTCTTCTTTCAAGGAAACATTATATATATTCCATTTGTTAAATAAATTAAATAAATGTTTATAATCGGTGATTGGTTGATCGTCGAACTATTCACCTCACTTATTAGCGTAATATCTTATGATTGCTTATAAATTGCATAAGAAAATCTATAATACTATTTTATTAACTGAATAATTTGTTAAGTTCTTACTTTATTAGGCTATTGGTCATTAATCATTGATTTGGTTTTTTTCTCCTCAATGATATAACTAAAATCATTTGACTAAACTCATATTCTCTCTCTTTTTTTTATTGAGCATTTTTGATTGTTACAGACAGAAATGAATTTGAATTTCTTCTAAGCCATGTGTTATATCATGGGATGCATGCACTTCAAAAGGATGACAAAGCTGAATTATGTTCTGCTGTTTTAAAAGTAAAGTGATTTTATGTGCTATTAACAAGTATTATTCTTAATAGTATTAAGATTATTAAGATGAAATACTTTGATGAAGATTGTGTGATTTTAATTAATTTTAATAATTTTTAATGTCATTTATAGTATTCATTCCTCGTAAGAAAGAATAATCACACATATTATATTACTTTAGTAATTTAAATTACCATTAAAGATTATCTAACTATTTAAAAATATATTAATTTAGGCGGTAGCAAGAACATTATGTTTCGTGAGTATGGAGAAACGGCTAGCTGATGATGAGATATGTATGATGTGTCGAGGAAAACAAACTGCTAATCGAAATTTGGAAATCAATTTGGATAAGATTTTTGAACTTATAAAAAAAGCTGTATATGGTAATAATGCAGTAAAATTAGGTTGCTGTGAATTGTTGGCCTCTTTGCTCAATCATATTTCCTTCTCGGTATTGAAAAGATATGAAGCAGAAATGCATTGCACATTGATTTTGATGAAAGAATCTGATGAAGATCTACGATCCGAATTTCAGTATGTTATTTTCAAACTTTAATCATTTTGGATTATCATGAAAATTTTTAAATTTTGATATCATATCATTCTCATTAAGTGATAATGATTTGATGGTTTTGGGAACATAATGATTATTTTAGGGATCTTGAATAAGATCCAAATACTTACACTTTTATATGACAAAGAGCTGATCTTTAATGGTATTAGTAGAGAAATGATGTTCTATAAACAGAAATGATGTTCTATAAACGGTTATTAGCAAAGAACAGCAATATTAGACTGAATAATTGAATACTTGATGAGAAATCAAACAAAGTATTTTAAAGTTTATATTTGTAAGATTTAACTCACTGATACATAATTATTTCGAGTATGATGTCATTTCTGAACAAACTAAATCGTTCGGTGACCGGACATTCCTGATGAGATGCATCGAAATTAAGCAAAATTATTGCATTTTTATACATTTAAATATATTTTCAACTCTTTTTAGTCGAGTATTTTTTTTTAGCAGAGTAATTTTCTTTTAGAATAACAAAATTTTGATTTAGATGGTGCTTAAAACCTATGATGGAACTGAAACTTGAAAATGTACAAAATGAAGTAATGCAAGCTATTAATGATCTACAAAAATTACCAAAAACATTCGACAATTTCAAATTGCATGCAATATTCTGCTTGACGTAAGTGTTATCAGTTAACTGAGCAAATTTTCAAATTAAGTAAATGAGCTGTTTTCAGAAGTTTGCAAAATTACTTTTAATTCTTTCATCTATGTATCATTTTTTGATACCATAACGCTATTCCCATCACTTTAATTTTTTTTTTTTTTGGCTTGGAATTCTTGAAAATGCAGTAAAATAGAAAAAAAAAAGAAATAGATGAAAAAAAAAAAAGAAAAGAGTGGATTAGATAAAAGATGATATGGGAAGTAGGTTTATTTGGAGACAGCATAATTTCATAATTTCGTTCATCACAATTGTCCATAATACTTTTTATCGATGTTAAATTTCGATATTTTCAGATGATTTCTTTGATTTTCACGCTTTAAAAAAAAAAGGCATTTTTTCAGTAATTCGCAAAATGACAATCTTTTTCTGATATGCTTGAATCATCTTCTGAATATAGCAATTATATCTGATTATGCATTTGTTGTTGCTGAAATTAAACATGCTATTGAGGTTAGCTGATTAATATTTTATTTCTTGTACTTAGTTTTGAAATGTATAATTTTTTTTTTTAAAAAATATCGAAGTTTCGGGAATTTTCAACTAAGTAGTTAGATTATAGGATCGCATGGAAAAATATTCATCTAATTTACATCCTCGACAATGGTTTCTTCGAAAAAAGAAATATATAATGGAAAATCTTACCAAACGAATAATCTTTGAATATTCTGAAGGAACAAGGTCTCTAGAAACAGGTAAGATATATCAATTTTATCATCGCAAAAAAAAACTTTAAATAATGTACTAAATATTGTTTTTAATGCTGTTTTTTGAATGAAGAATTCTCTAGTTTTCTGAGTTTATTTTCTTGCATTTCTTATTTGAATTGTTATACAGAAATTTTCAATATCTTCCAGGAAGTTTTTCAGAAATTGTTGATGAAAGGTTTGAAGGAAGTATCGAATACGCTTTGAGTGTTCTTGTTGAGATATTTGATTTCTCAAAAGATGATATCGAAAGGTAGGATATTATCACTATATTCGGACGACTGTAATGGTTTATATTTTTCAGTGTTAATTTATATTTTATTTTAACACATTTGTCTGTTGTATTCGGATTACAAAAATTGAATTTTAAATAGCACTATCCTATACTGAAGTACTCAATCCGAACATTTTATTATAATAATGGCAGTTAAGCTGTATAAGGACACGTTATGCAAATCTTTTTTTTTTTTTTTTTTAAATTACTAAGCGAATAAAAGAAGCACTATAAATTAGCAATAATAATCTTTCCAGACCATCTACTTCTGATCAAAATTTTGATTAAGGAAACTAAAATTGGTAATAATTAGTGAAAAAAAAAAGTATATAATGTCAAATTTTTATATAAAATATATCAGATTTTTTATCTCTTATAGTTTCATGCGAGATGTTTGTCCTGAAATTGTTACTTCTCTTCTGCTAGACTGTATAGCGGAAAAGGAAAAAGTGCAATTGGCATTGAATACTATCGCACGATTGCGACGAGTACAACCAGAAATTTTGATGGAAGAATCTTTGCCATTACTATTAGTCAAGCATCTTTTCAAGGATTTATCGATTCAAGTTATGCAGAATGCTCTAAATTTTATTAGCTTTTATACAAAAGGAGGTTGTAACTGGGTAGGTGCTATTTTAACTTATTATTTAATTCTCTTATTTTTTTTCTTAATTGACTTTTATATTGCACATCTGATATTGTATTATCGGAGAAGGACGATGACAAATGTCAATCTATGAGCATAAGTATTGTGCAAATATCAAATAAAATAAGTGATAAGTAAGTCAAAATACCGGTCATGAAATGTCAGAATGAAACTTTTTGAATTGAAATCATTTAATGATAAACGGAATTCAAGAATTAATAGTAGGATTACCGTTATGTATATTTGGCATATAATTGAACTAGAACAAAGCGACAATTATATTTTTGTGTTGTAAACAATTTTATTATTTATGGCACAGTCGTCTTCTTTCTAAATGAAATTTGAATGATATGATTATCATTTATTAATTCTTTTACTTTAATCTTATACTTTAAAAGAATTCTTATTTCTTTTTAAAATAATTTTTGTTTGATTTTTAAACTTTGATTTTTATTTAAAATTTTCATTAAAAATTGACTTTCATTTTGTTTTAGTCAACATTGGTTTCGAAAAAAGCTTATGAATGTACGGTTTGTTTGCTGCAACATTTATGTGTTCATGAAGAAAAAGCAATGATGCATATCAAAAATTTACATAAATTAACCTACGGTCGAAACTGTCCATTCAATTTTACCGCTTTCATCAGGGAAAGGTTTCTTTTTATAGCTTTAACTGTTTTTTTTTTTTTTTTTGAAACTTATTAGTAATTATTGTTCTTGCAAACATTTCAAAATTATTGTCAAAGTAGTTAATTTCTTTCAGATGTCAGCGTTTTAAGGAAAATGATATGTTTGAATGACTCAGCTATAATAACTTAGACTTAGCTATATTTGATAACCTACTGATAAGCAGCAGTAGTCAAGATTTTGAAAAAATAATTTTGATATCAATAGGTTTCAATGCATATTTTGCAGTTATTTGGGAATTTTGTTGCACTTTCGACAAGCTATCAGTGATGATCGATTCTATGATGAACGACTGATACTGGTATCAAGTCTCTGTAAAGTGATGGCAATGATCAAAGTAGATGGCACTGATTTTCTTGATCAAGTTGGTTTTGAAATATTTACAAATGAATAGCAAATTAAATAAAGCGGAAAGAACGTAACAGTTTTATGAATGAAATCAGAATTTAAAGTTGATGTTAATTTGTAAATCGCATGTAACCTTATTTTAATTTATAAAAATTTAAAGGTTTTGCAAAGTTTTTTTAAGTTTGTTTCTTACTAAATATGAAATATTAATGTAAGTTTTAAATTTCAGACTGCTGATAAAATGTTGATTGTTTTACGCGCTTTTACACCATTAGGCATTGTTGTTATTGAAATATGGAAAGTTTATTTAAAAACTTTGTCAGATGAGGTGATTTTTTATAGCTATATTATATATGATAAATACTAAATAGGAATAGATAAAGAGTTAGGTCTTGACTAATCATTGAAAGTAATTGATTAGTTGTAGAAAAAGAATATCGTATTACATAGTTACTCCATCTAATATTTATATAACTTTACCATGTAATGCAATCATAGGCATATCTTTTTTTTCTTTTTTTTTTGAATTATCATTTATTTTATTAGCTACTGTACGGTTAAGTGGTTTCTTTTTTTTTAAAAAAAAAGGAAAAATAGGATAGATAGTTAAATTGTTGATAATTTACGTTTTTAAAACAAGATATTTTCACTGCCAAACAGGATTTGCTGTTTGTGTTACTCTATCGTTATTAGTTCCAGTATGATTTCTTGTATCATTTAAACTTCCTTTGAATAATTTCATGATTTTCTTCGAATTTTCAAGATTTGTTACTGAATAAATTTTAGGTTTTGGTGAAACTTTTGCCGCAAACTCTAGTTTCAATCATTCCGTTGTTGCGATTTGAGCAGGCTCGAGAGCTATTAAGATATATTTTCGAAGAAAGGCAATTACACTTTGCAGCAAAGTAAATTTTAATTCATTCAAAACTTTAAAAATTTCGACTTATTTACGAACATATATTTATTTATGAGAACATGACAACCGTTCTGTTTCAACTGGTCTTTTCACTTCTAAACCATATTTAACTTTTTCAGTGGAGATTTCGAACGCATCGCTTTGGTTTTTTGGAACAATCCGAAAATTTCAATCAATGAATACCTTTCACCGGAACTTGGAAAGTCCCCACCAGAACTGGTTTAGTTTTTATTTGATTTGAAAGAACTAGCAGTAATATTTACAATGAAATCAAAAACTGGCAGTGTCTTGTTCCAGTTTCAGTTTAAAATAAGCATTCTAGATTAGTTTTTCTTGTAGCAAATATGCTAACAGAATTGTTTTATTCATTTCTCTGGTCTTCAAATTGATTAATTTTCAAAAAGTTAAAAATAGTGTTCAAAAAATTGAGTATCATTTTTTGATCATATAAACAACAGAACTTTATGTTACATTTGTTAAAGGTAATCTTTATTTCCAAAAATTTTTTCAGGTTTTCCATGCATGCGCTTCTTTACTGAAAGAAAGTTATGAAGAAGTTGGTGAAGTGATATTGCATAAATTATTAAGTTTACTTAATGAATATCGTGAATTAACAGATAGCTGCTTTGATAATATTGCTGCAGAATTGGTTTGTTATTTTGTTATGTATGCTTTTACATAAATTCATGAGTGTTAAAAACCTTAAAAAATGATATTGCAGTGTAAAATAACTTTGAACGTCATATGCTTGTTTCTTCAATAATTTATTTTAAAAATTTTAAATTCAAAATTTATCTCCAATTTTAGGTTTATCTTCAATTTTAGGTTCCATCATTATTGCAAATTATACGAAAAAGTTCATTGTCGGAATGTCGTTACTTAGCTTCTTTAGCGCTTGGTTGTTTGGGTGCTGTTGATCCAGGTCGTATTGGTTTATCATTGGCGCGTAATACAAATGCAAATGTTGATCAGCATAATGCCCGATTTGTATTTGTTGATTCTGGAGACCAGGTATGAAAAGTTTTATTTTTTTATTGGTAAATGTAAATATTTTTGTAAATACTCAAAAGTAAATACTTTTGAATTTTTACACAATTTATCTTACTCATATTTATACTTACTCTAACTTTTTTCTTCATTCTTTTAAAAATTTAGATTGATTTATGCATTGAGGTTTTACCTAGATTCCTCTCTTTCTCTCTCTTTAAAAAAGTTGGTTATAGTAACACTATATTCTCTTATTTTAACCGTATTTTCCGGTATCAGTTACAATTACTTGAGATTTTCAAATGAACTTTAATCTTTCAGTTTTACATTGAACTTTTGGAGCGAGCAGCGGTAGCCTTTTCCGGAATACTGGATGCTAGCATGCAAGTTGAATGTTCGTATAGTATACAAACTGTTTTACGGGAACTCTTTGGAAGACATGGTTCAGAGAGCTCAAGTCTATGGGATATGTTAAGCGATCAGTGTCGAAACTCACTGTCAATGTTAAGGAAATCAAGTTTTATACTGCATAAGCCTCTCCAACATCTTCCAACAAAAAGGTAATAATTTATCTGTTAAATCATATATAAAAGTCATGATGAAATTACATAGCAATTGTTATGTTGGACATTTTTGAGTTAAACTAATAATTTTATTTTCAAATTTAGTTGCTTTTTTCAGACCAATAATAGAATGTGAACAAGTGAAGGATTTTAGAAGTTGGTTGAATCTATGGTATAAAATAACAGCTGCTAAAGTGAGTAGTAGTTCCAGTTAATTTTTACTTTTACTTCAAAATTATGTTATTTTTTTTTGCTTTTATTTTCACCATAATCATCATTGGTTATTTATCGCTGTATTTCATCAAAATATTAACAGCAATGAATTTAGATATCTTTGCCAGCTTTTAACATTATTTCTTTTGAAGTATCAACTTTATCTGTCATCACAGAGGCATTATTAATTACACTTCTGATAATTACAGATACGCCATGTGAAGTTAAAAATTTTCTTTGGTGCTTTAGAAGGCTTGGTAAATGCAGATATCGTCTTTGCTAGCTTTATCTTACCACAGTTAATTCTTCAGAGTATCATTGAGCACAATTTAACATGTATGAATGAGGTAATCCCTTGAACTTTTGTAAACTAGATTTAAAATTGCTTGGAATTTTGATGATATTACATGTATTGTAACTTCGTATAATACCTAAATTATAAGTCAAATGTTAACATTTCTAAAGGAATTTATTAAAAATTATTAAAAATTAAAATATTTTTTTGTTGATAACTATGAAACTTTTCCATCTATATGCTTATACTATTTTCTTTATTTGATACAGTCAAATTGTACGGTTAACTTCTTATAGTTCTTTTCTCAATATTCATTTCCAATAATTAGTTCGAATACTTCGATAAATTACACTTAGTTTAGGTTAGTATGGAAATAACTGCGGTGCTGCAGAAGTCAATTATTGATAGTGGATGGCCTCGATCAGCTGCACATTTGATTTTTGCTGTCATTGATTGTCTGGAGCAATTTACTTGTCATCGTCGATCTCTAAAAATTCCAACTGATATGGTACTTAAATTTTTCCTACTACAAATAACTTCTAAAAAAAAACTTTTTTTTAGTTCAACTTATTCAGTAATATCCGAGGTTTAATCGTAAACAAAGCTATCACTTCCAAATTTTTGATCCAAACTTCTTTAAATTTCTTCAGGTTCTTCAACGTACTCTCGAAATCTTATCAAATGTGACAACGCAGACAACGAGTGATGGGAATTGTTTGATTGTTGCTGCAGCTGGAGTATGCCATTGTACAACGAGGGCATTGAAATGGTCACATATCATTATTTAAAAATTTAAATATCTTAATTTTATTTAACTTTCATTTGAAGAGAAAAAAAAAACATCTTATGACTTTCATTTGAAAACAAAACTTTGTTCTTATGATTTCTGAACTACAGGTGTGAAGAATATGCAATTGGATGTGATGAGTATGGCCAGACGTTATTCAAACCGGATCAGTTTAGCTTTCTTGAGGTATAAATCGGCAGTCAGTTTTGAAATTTTATCTGTACATTTTTTTTTAATTATTATTACAAAAATTAATTCTTTAGAAAATTTATTTCGATCTGGGTGATATGGATGGTGTAGCTGGTGCTTTTGAAACGATACGTTCGTGTGCTGAACCAACTATAAATGATCGAATTTTATCATTGGAAGCTGATGGAAATTACTGGGATGCATTACCTTTGTATAAAAAATCAACTAATGTCGAGGTAGTAATTTCAAGTAAAAATTTAGGATTAAATTACAACCGATTCAGCTATTAATGAATAAATTTGATTTAATTTAACTCAGTTTTCCTAGAAAATCTAGAATTATTATATATTATTTCAGTATTCTCAAGATTATTAAGAGTATAGGATTACAAAATATCTTACAAAGTTTATCAGATGCTTTCCGCAAGAATATATAGAATTTTATCTTATGATTAGGACATGTGAGTTTCTAATTCAAAGGTATCATTCTAATTTAATTAAAATTGGAAAGTTACCAAGCTATTTATAGTTTAGTGTAATGATTTAACACATCCACCAACTTTTCAGCCTTCCTATACCAAATGTTTGCTACGTCTGAATGAACCACGATTAGCGCTGAGTGGCATTACTGATTTATTAGAAAAATCCGAAAGTGTCGAATTTCAAGAAAGTACTCAGTTATCCATTTGTTATAAAGTAAAAAAAAAAAAAAGAAGTTTTAACTTATAATGATCGTCTGTTAAATATTTGATCTTTTTCTTTTTCTTTTACGGAATAAGAAAGAATTAGGAAGAAATGAATTTTCATGGAAATTTGAAACTTACGTAAATCTTTCATCAATCTTCCCTATCTATCTATCCCTCTTGGATTCTTCATTGAATTATTCAATAATTTCCAAAATGAAAGTAAATTCAGTAATTTGAATGTGAAATGATTGTGTTTCAGAATTACGTTCATGTCAACTAGAAGCAATGTGGCAATTACAGCTCTGGGATGATTTAACAGATTTGTTATGTAAGAAGCCTAAAACGACAACATGTGGTGCCACATATGCAACAATAATTTGTACTCTAAGAAATCAACAATTCAATTTAATGGATGATTATTTAGTCAATGCACGAATGCGTTTGGCAGATGCATTAACTGCTATGACAATTGAAGATTCAGATACCTATACACAGGCCTATAAAACTATTACGCAGTAAGTTATAATTTCTTTTTTTGTTATCTTATTTCATATATCTTACTAGAATGTCACCTTCCTACAACAAAATTTTTGTTATCAGGAAATTGAATTGTTGTTATTTATTTCTTTAAAAAAAAGTAAAGAAAAAAAAAGTTATCAATTATGGTGTGCTAACTGGGAATAGTAATTACTCATTGCTTGTGATTCTGATTGTTTATTTCATTTCATTATTTACAGATTACATATACTATCAGAAATAGAAGATGCGAAGAGTTCACTTAAATTAGAAAATGGCGAAATCTTAGCAGTGGAAGATTTGACCAAAGTTTTGAATGTTTGGCAGGTATGTATGAGAAAATCTGGTTTAAAAATAAGCCCAATAATGATATAGGAGCAGTAATAATTGAGCATTTTTGAAGCATGATATATTATTTGTCTTGAAATGTTCAGAAGATAGCCTAACTCATCTTTAGCGAATGAAATAAACGAAGCTTTGATAGTATAATTAATTATTCATTAATTTATATAAATTGTAGTTTATTTTTCATTAATTAATTCATATAAAAGTTGTCTTGATAACTTCCAGATCACTGCAATTTTCTATCTTTTTTTTTGGACCAATTTATTTCTAACATTTTAAACTGAATATATTTGTATATTTAATTGTTGATTCTCGAATACTTCTTTATCATTTTCTTCATAAAAGTTATTAATTTTCTATTTAGAAGCGTGCAGCAAAAGCAATTCAAAGTGCTAGTGTTTTGGAGCCTATCTTGAATGCTCGTCGAAGCTTATTGAGTTTACTAGATGGTGACATTGGACGAGGTTCAATCTGCGATCTCTTTTTGCAAAGTTGTCGTTTAGCGAGACATGATGGACATTTACAAGTTGCTTGGTCATATCTTATTCAAGCAAAAGACTTGCATATTAATCAGTTTGAAGTTGAAATGGAAGAAGCTCGATATCTTTTTCAAAAGGTTTTCTAATTCCTTCTTTGCTGTCATCATCTTTGGGTGTTTCCAAATATAATCTATGTGATGTCAGAAATGCAACATTAGAAAATATGTTATGCTAAAAGATGAATGATTTTTTTTTTTTTTTTTAATTTACTAACTTTGGTTCTAGCAGCACATTTCATATTTCAGGGAAGTCAGGTTCAAGCAATACAAATTCTCTCAAATTTGTTAAAAAGGCATTTTTCTGATGAGATGCAACAGCTGAAAAATATCTCATGTGAAGGAAGAGATATTTGTTGCAGTGAGGAAGAATATGCTGGAGAATTAAGAAGAGGAAATGAAGACTTTGTCAAGGTTATATATATATATTTTTTTTTTCTGTCATCAAATGCTGTGGCATTTAGTTTATTGTGAATAATACTAAGAAATGTCTTTTCTGTACTACCAGAATATTTAGCCTATTATATTCTTTTTATTTGTGAAAAAATATAACTCTTAACAAAAATGATATATATATATATATATTATTTATGGTCTTATAAAGCATATCGTATCATATTTTATAATTTAAGTGTTTTGTAATTTTTGCAGGCTCAATTATTATTTGCTGAATATTCACTAAGAGCAGGAGCGGGCAGTTATGGAGATTTTTATAAGACATATTTCTCACTTCCTTTAATTGCTGAACCTTCTGAAGATTTATTCTATCGTATAGCAGTTTTCTTCGATAAGTATTTGTACAGTAAAAACGAAGTAACCTTTTAAATATTTCAACTTAATTTCGTACTGCGTATTTGGTTTGTTATTTGATTTATTTGATTTTGTTATTTTAATCACATATAAAATTCTTCTATTTGATTTTTTAAATTTTACAAATAGTGGTAAGGTTTTTTTTTTGACTGTAATAATTTCTGTTCTATATTTCTTTCATCTGTCTTCTAGTGTTTCTATAACTGTTTCCTTTTTTTTTTCTTTCTTTTTCAGAATGCTGAAGCTAATAATGTTACAATGATTTTAAAAGCCTATAGACGAGTATTAAAGCATGGAAAGAGATACTTGTTCCATGTTATGCCACGAATGTTAAGCATATGGTTGGATTATACACAAAAAATGGTAATTTTCAGTTTTTTTTTTTTTGAAAGATTATTTTACATATAATTTATTTTGTGTATGGTAATAGTTACTCAATATTTTTTATAGGCTGAAAATGGAAGTACACAACTATCATTGAAGGTACACGCAAGAGGATTACCATTGAAATGTTTATCAAACGAAGATAAATGTGTTCGAGAGGTGGAGTATTTCTTTTTCTGTTTTTATACAAACAACTACAATTTGCATTGAATTTTCAAAATTTTTTTATGTATATTTGTCTATTCTTAATTTTCTTGAAGTTTTTGAACTTATTTTGTTGCATTTTGTTATCGTGAAGTCCTATTTCTTTTGTACACTATGTTGTCTTGAGACTTTTTTTAAGTTAAAGATTTTGAGACATTTTTCTTTATTTATTTATTCATTTTTTTTTTATTCTAGAAATTTTTTTATTTAGATTCCGTAAAAGACATTCATGAACAAAATATTTAAATATTAGAATGTTAAATATTAGAAGTATTAGAATTATTTGTAAAGATTTATGCAAGTTTGCAATTCATATAAAATTTTGTCAACATTTATAATTATTATTATTATGTATAATTATATGAAACGTTATTGATTGAATTCAAGGAATGTAATGAAAAATTATAAAAAATATTGCAGATGAATGGAGTAATATACGATGGTTTCAAATGCATTGATCATTATATGTTTTATACAGCATTTGCTCAGCTAATTTCACGTATTACTCATCCAAATGAGGATGTCTTTCAAACATTAAAGGTAAGTCAGTAATGCTTTTTACTTCTATCAAAATAAATGTTAATTTTAAAAAAAGGAAAAAAAAATGAACTATTGACGTATTTCATTTTATACAGACACCGTGGAAATATTTTTTCTTCTTTCATCCGTATCCGAAATAGTAATAGCATAATATTTTTTAAAGATATGTACATATTTTTGTGTGTTATAAATAAGTTATTTAAATAAATCAAGATGATAAATGATAGTCATAGATTTTTTTGTACATTAATAGATTGAAATATTCAAATTTTAGATGATTTTGTCTACATTAATGGTAGAATATCCACATCAATGTTTATGGCAATCAATTGCTGTCTTTCGTTGTGATGCTGATAATCAACCATTACGTTTTATTCGTTGTCGTGCTGTATATGATTTAGCTAAACGTACAGATGAAACTGGTCAATTAAAAAATTTAATTCCTCAATATGAATATGTTGCAGCTGCTTTCATCAGGTAATTTTAAAAAGTTTTTAGAAATGTACACTTTTTTGCGGTTCAAATTAAAACATTTGGAATCAGTCATTAATTTATTAAATAATAATTCTGTTAACCATTGTATTAATAACTGTTGATTTAAAAGTGCAGCAGTTATTTTAGATTTCTTGTTGAAAATCTCGTTATAAAAAAAACAATTTTTATTGTAAATGAGTGTGTTAAATATTTAGTTCAGAGTGCCAGAAAATTAATTAGATATAAATATGGAAAAAAAAAGATACATAACTAATAATTTTATTACTGATTAGTAGCCCTGTTTGATAACTTCCAAATTTTATTATCCTTCATCTTCAATTTTCTGATTTTATAATTTAAGCAGGTGTATTTTTTTTTTTACAGAGTTGCAGAAGATAATTGTCCAATAGGTACGCAATCACCATTTAGCCAACGTTATGCCTATCTTTCGGAATATTTTCGGAGCGGTAAAATGAGTCCAGCAATTTGGAGTATGTATTTTTGCTTCCTCCTGCACTTTTTCTTTTTTTTTCTCTCAAGTTATCACAAAGTTTCAAATATTATTTAAATGTAATGACATAGTTATTCACCTGTCCAAATTTATTGTCATAATTTGTTATCCTTGTTTTTGTTTTGAGATTTATGAACAGGGAAATATTCCAAAAAATCATTGTATTTATCATTTTTATGTTTTGTTTCGGAGTATTTTTTTTTTCCTTTTTTAATATTAAGGAATTTTTATTTAGCAACAGAAAGAGCTCAAGGAAAAGAGACGAAAGAGCCGATTCGGCCATCAATTGTAGTACCACTGCATAAGATGATCGAGCAAGCAATTCCAACAAATATTTTGAGCACATTATCACAATTTCCGGATGCAAATTTGGAACAAACTCTATCAGCAGCTTCGAGTAATACCAAATTCAGCACCATTTATATTCATTCAATTGATGAAGAGTTTACTGTGAGTTCAAATGAATTTAACTCATAACTTATTATTTTTAATGAACAAAAAACTCATAATACATTTTAAATTCAAAATGTAAGCAATAATAGTTGTCTGTTATTAAGTTATATCTTTATAATTTTATTTTTTTCTCTTCATTCGATTTCACATGTTAAGGAATGCATTTGGAATAGCTATAGCTAAGAACTGAATTTAAATTTCATTTTTTCAGGTAATGAAATCATTAGTACGTCCCAAAAAGATAACTATAGTGGGGTCTGATGGTAAAAAGTATCCGTTAATGTGCAAAGCAAAAGATGAATTACGTAAAGATGCTCGTCTTATGGATTTCAATCGGGTACATACTACTTGCTTTTTTTTTTTCATGACATCCTATCACGTATTACGTGTGTAGGTGTGTACGTATGTAGGTCTACAAAACATTGTGTATATCTACCTTAAGTATTTTCACGAAATTGATTGTTATAGTTAGTTGTATAGCTCTTTTTAGTTTCTTTTTATTAACTCGATATTACGAACAGTTTTTCGAATAAAATCAATAGTTATCAAACTTTGATCAGTCGTGATGATTAAGTTTATTTAGAAATGAGAAAGATTTGAATGATTTACCAGACGCTGTGATCTTAATAAAAGAGAATTTTACGCCGAATGATGGCACTGATTTTTACGTCTACATAAAAAAAAATAATGATATCAAAAACTAAAACAAATATTAACCACATCTACTGCTACTGTATTCTTAATTATGTTTCTAGATAAAAATTAAGCAAACCTTATTCGTTGTTTGCACTATTTAAAATATATAAAATTTTCCGTTGCTACTAATTTCTTAGAATTTGAAATTCTTTTCAGATGGTAAACGCATTATTACATCAAAATGCAGATGCCAGACGTAGACAGCTTCACGTTCGAACATACAATGTTATTCCATTACAAGTAATCTCATTTTACAATTATATTATCAGTGATTAATTCCATTTCACTATTACATTGTCAGCTTTATGTTAATATGTTTTTTTTTTTTCAAATACTTTTTTTTATTTGTTTTTGGATAATGCGAGGATGACATTAGCAAATTTTTATATGATATTAACTTTTCTTGCTAATTTTGGTATCTGAAAAGAAGCATTAACAAATCTTTTTCATTTTATTAAAAACAATTAATACTTAAAATAATAAAAATTAATTTTTATTTGTTTGCTGAATGAAATTTTTTAGGATGCAGGTGGTTTAATTGAATGGATTCCAAATCTTCAAACTTATCGAGGTGTAGTGGAGCAGCTGGTGAAAGAAAAATGTAATAGCGTAATGAGCGATAAAGAATGGTTTAGTCGATGGATACCTAATGGAACTGATGAAGAAAAATTAGCAAGATTACGAACCGAATACTATCCAAGACATCCAATTGTAATGCCGGAATGGTTCAGGTTAGAAAAAATGTTTTCCTGCTTTTTTTTTAACTGATTTATGTCTTAATTGTTAAAAACTTTAAAAGTATTTTAAAATATTTAAAAAAAAAACTACTATTTTGATCGTAAATCTAGTAATTTTTAAAACTTTATGAATTTCATGTTTCTTCCATTCTTTTTCCTACAAACAGTAATTTCAAAACTTTTCCAAGTTTAATTGTTTTTATGAAAACATACAGTTGTTAAAAAAATATGTTTCAAAAAGAAATATAGTTGTTAAAAAAAAAAAATTTTTTTTAAGGCGTTCATTTTCGGATTCATGTCATTGGTACGCAGCACGTTTAGCTTTTACGTATACGTCAGCAGTGATGAGTATGGTTGGTTTTATATTGGGACTTGGAGATCGACATGGTGAAAATCTTTTACTCGATCTTGTCAGTGGTGATGCAATTCATGTAGACTTCAATTTATTGTTTAACAAAGGAGAGAATTTGAATGTTCCTGAAGTAAGATAATTTCTCTGATATTATAACCTAATAATTGAGTAGGCATCGAAAAAAAAAAATAAAATTATCGATACTTGAATCTTTGTATCATTTTAATCTTTTTTATGGCTGAACTGTTGATGTATATTAATGTTGACAATATCGAGCATTCTGAATGTCACATCTGTCAATATCTTTTCATAAATTATTGTGAATTACATCTTCTCATAGTTACTTCAAAACATATTATCAAAATTTTCCTATTATTTACACTAATTTCAATTAATTTCAGGTAGTACCATTTCGATTAACACGTAACATTGTTGCTGGTTTCGGAGCAACTGGTGTCGAAGGAGCATTTCGTCGTTCATGCGAAACAACAATGCGTGTATTACGTGAACATGATGAAGCATTACTCACTGTTTTGCAAACATTTGTGCATGATCCACTTCTAGAATGGATGCATAGTGAAAGTCGTGCTCAACAATATAAGCAGGTTTGTCATTATATGCAAATCTTGCAAATTTTAATTTTGATTCTTATGACGCAAAGCAAGCTTAAAAAGTTTATTGATTTATTATATTGCTGCTGAATATCCGACATTTATGTTTATATAATTCTGGTTAGTCTGAAATTGAAATAAGAGAACTGATAAATTTTATATTTCTTATTTATAAATGATTAATTTTTTTTTTCTAGCGAAAGCGAAATGATGCTAAATTATCACCACCAGTAGCACAGCAACAAGCACAAGAAGCCATTGATATGATACGATCCCGTCTAATAGGTTTATAAATTTTATACTTAATTTTTTTTTCCTAATAATCTTAAATTTCATAATTAATAATGATTATAAGCCTGTTATGCTTGATTTCTTTAATTAGGATAGTGTTACTTTATCCATTTTACTCGCTTACTTATAGATGTTCTAAATTTGATTTTTGAATTCTGTTCCAAAAATATATTCCATCGGTTTTTTTTCTTCCCATCGGTCATACCATACCGATAGTTATTTTTTTTTTTTTGCAGGTCATATTATAACACCGAAAATTTATCGCACAGAAACAAATAATCCACCAATGAGTATTGAAGGACAAGTTGGTCGATTAATTGATATTTCTCGGGATGAATTAAATCTTGCCCGAATGTATATTGGCTGGTGTCCTTTCATATAAAATTTTAGGAAGAGCTTTCAACTTTGTAAATATTTTTTTCGATGTTTGATTATAGTTTTATTTATTTATTTATTTATTTATTTATTTATTTATTTATTCCTATAGTTTTAATGAAGCTAGTGCTTCTGTAGAAATTTTTATTGAATGATCGGTGATATATTGATTCTTGATATATCATTAGTGCCATAAATCATTTTTACATCATTGAAGTCAGTAATATGCTTTTAAAATAGTGACATCTTACAAGTCTTTGCAAAAAATCTTATCTTAACCGATCAGAAAATAAATTTTATTTCATATTCTTGAATAAGATCTGCCATTGTAATCTCATTTCAGTATTCAGTGTTCTAATAGTGCCGACTTTTGTTCCTTTTTTTTAGTTAATTTATTCACGGGTTCTTGATTTATTTCAGGTTGAAAAATCAACATTTTAGATGCGTTAGAATGTTTGTTCTTTTGCTTTTTTTTTTTATCTTGAATAATTTTTCCTTTTTTTTTTCTGTTAACTCATCAATCACTTTTTTTTTTGTTGTAATTATAATGTCTTTTTGTTTCACTGATTTTTATTTCCAAAATGACTTTTATCAAGTCTTTCTGTATGTATTTTCTGAAGGGTTGAAACTCTGCCAGAATATAGGGACATCCTCAATTGTTGCATTTCTCGAGATTATTTTGAAAGCATTCCTTAATTATTGAGTTTCTTTCTTTTTTATTATTCCATTTCTTTAGCATGTTTTGTTTTGCATTTATTAATAAAGCAAAAAGAAAAATAAATTATTTTGTTTGTTTAAATAGCATTGTCATGAGGAAATTACAGATGACACTAATATATGATATGCAATTTACATGCAATAAATTTCTCAAAAATTATAAAAAAAAAAACATTATTGAATAAGTAATTTACTTATATTAAACATAACTGTAAAAATTTTCACATATTTTTTGAGACTATTTTGATAGTAAAAAAGAAAAATAAATATTAATATGCTTATTAATGATTCTTTCTTTTTTTTTTTCTGCAATCTATAAATTGAAAAGTGCTTTTAAATTGTATAAAAATGAATTCCTATTATCATTTCTTTTATTATTTTATGAATTATTTTTTTTAACAATCGGTTGGTGTTAATATATCGAAGCGCAAAATGGAGCAATTTAAAATAAGCGCTTTCAATATGCTTACATTATTAGTTTTTGTTTCATTTTTAGCACAAAGTGCACATTTTGTTATTACAATACACAATACAACAAATTCAACAATCATATTATCATCAAATGATAATAATCAAAAGATAATGATTGCCATTGATAAAAGCAGCATTAATACTACAATACCTGTACCAGGTAAATTTTAATTCAAAATGAGAATTATATAAATAGCAGAATAAATTTTTACTCTAATCAACGATATAAAATCTTTGTTTTTTTTTAAAAAAAAAAATTATACGAAAGAAAAAAGAAATCAATTTGTTAAAAAGGATAGAAATAAATGATTAGAAAAATTAGTATGAAAATCTATTCGTATTCTATTAAAATAAAAAAAAAAAAAAATATTATCTTCATTAATGATCAAAACTATACTGATAATAGATATTAGGAAAGGAAATAAAAAGTTTCTTTTTCTTTTTTTTTTTTTTTAATCAAAAAATTTAGTAAAACGAAAAAATGATAACATTGGATTAATTATCGATGTAATACCACTAAAATATATGTATATTTATGTAAGTTTTCATGTTTTTTTTTTCTCAATTTTTATATATTAAAAATTGAACAATGTTAATTATAATAAAAACGATAAAAGAGAAAAAGTAATAGTTAAAATATATTTATGAAATTTTAATTATTCAACATTTTCATATTAAGCAATTAATTATTTACGATTTATTATCACTTAGCATCATTTAAGAAAATAAAAAAAGATGCTATTTCATTATTTTTTTTTAATTAGAATTAATATTTGTATTCTTCACCTGTATTAACTGTCAACTAAGTTAATACAGGTAAAGAATAAAACTTTTACATCATAGCAATCTCATTTTTATTCCTTTCAATATCGCTCAAAATTTTAAAATGTTATTTAAATGATTTCGAATAAAGTATTGAAGTAATAATTCAATAATTTAGTAATTTAGCTATTCATCATAATAATTTCATTTTTATTCCTTTTAATAACACTGCGATCCTCAAATTTCATCGAAATGATTTTGAATAAATTATTGAAGTAATAATTAAATATTTTAAATATATATATATATATATACAAATTAAAGAAATTAAAATATTTTTTTTCAGACTAAGAATTCTAAAATAACTTTATATATGTATTTTTTTTTCTTAATTTAAAAATTAAAATGTTAAGACTAAAAGTTAAAACTTTAAAATTTGTATGCTAGAAATATAATTTGAAATTAAATAGAGAAAAGAAAAAAAAATTTAAGGTTGGTGTATTGTATTTGAGTGTAATAATAATAATAATAATATTGGATGGTGCATTACCACGATTATGCGGTAAAACTACAACAATTACATCAACCGGAAGCATCGATATGTTACATTCAGGTTATGAGGAACCGTTACCTGTAATACATAATATTCCACCGGAATATGAAACAGTGTTACCACTACATAATAATGGATAAAATATTAAAGAAAAAAAAGTGAATTTGATTTGAAAAAAAAAAAGTTATTAGATTACATTTAAAAACGAAAATCTATCAAAAATTTTTTAAGAACATATTTTGAAATATTTTAAACTAACTTTTTCAAATGTTTTTGCAATTTTTATTTTTCTAGATTTCTTCTACAAATTTTATTTTATTATCACAAAATATAAAATTTGAAAAAAAAAATCAGTTGAAAATGAAAATATTAAATTATCACATTTTTTTTTTTTAATTCTATTATCATTTTTAATGGTTAATTAATCTTTCTAACTTTTTATTCGTTGCACTTATCAATTTCAATATTTCACTTTGTCAAATTTTGCATAAATGTTATATATTTTTAAGTCTTTTCTATTTCTTTTATTTATCATTTAAATTTACTATTTAGATTCTATTTGCTATTTTTATTCGTCCACAAATCATAAATTTAAAATATGTAAAATTGTTTCATTCACCAATAAAAAAATATGCATAATGTTAAATATATGTAAAGTAATAATGTAATGTCAACAAACAAATACGAAAAGCATTTGAAAATTTAGCCAAATTTAATCATAAAGATTAAGAGCAATCCAAAGATTAAATTTTTAATCGCAAGGATTAAAGAAGCAAAATTCATAATTTTTTTTTTTTGCATAAAATTTAAAATTTTCTTTTTTTGTTAAGCAATAAATTAAAATCTTTATGAATCGAAATTATCATTGATAAGATAGAGTATGTGATTTTCCAACATATCAATCTTTAAGTCTTAAAATAAAATTAACTATTACTTATTACTGTTTGACGTGTACACGCATAAAAGTTAAACGTGCTACGTATCAATGACAAAAGTTCAAAAATGAACGCCTGGAAAAGAGAAAAACTTTTTTTTTTTAATAATTATATTTATCTTCATAAAGAGAATTAAACTTTGAAGAGTTTTGAATTTATTAATTGTAGAAAAAAAAAATGAAACAAAGATGAAATTTATAGAATTTTAAAAATTATTAAGTTTATAATGAAAATAGTAATACTTAAAATTTATTTAGAAATTAAATTTGAATCATTCGAGCATTACAGTTGAATCTTTTGGATAGTATTTGATGATTTCATCAATTTCATTAAGTATCCATCGACTAATAATATATTAAAATTTTTCTAAAAATTTTATGAAAAAAATATTTTTGTTTTTTTTACAAAGATTTATTTACAAAATTTAGTAGCATTTATTCACTTTGTTAAACTGAAAAAGTAATATATAAGTGATTACTTATTATTATTTAATTAAATGTGTGTAAAGCTTTTTTTTCTTTTTGAAAACTATAGAAGTGATATTAAGAGTTGTAATACTAACAATTTACTTTTGAAATTTTCTTTAAAGTATTTTTTAATCTTTGATATATTAAATTGTAATTTAATCTGTTTGGATAACATAGAAAATTGAAAATTTTATTTTTATAAATTCCTAACATATTTCCCAGATAATTTGCTGAGCTATGCCAAATTTGATAAATGTTAATTTAATCCATAAATATTGTTGTGATCGTAAAATATTGAACTAAATATTTCTTCTCTTATTTAAAAATTTATTTTTACCAAAGAATTACCATTTATATTTTCAATTAATTATATTGGATAATTCTAATCATTTTATCATAATTAAATTAAATTATCAATAAATTAAAAGTTTTATCAAATTTGAATATGATTTTTTTTTCCTTAATTTTATTTGAAGCATTACTGAAGTAAAATTTTATCATATCATCAGATTATTGTTATTGTCATTTTTGAGTTTACTTAAATTCAAATATATTAAAAATAAGAATTCAAATCTAATGCAAAATAATTAGGAATAATTTATATTCTAGAAATGTTTAAACCATTATATAACACAATCATAGCTTTTGTCTATAATCTTAAGCTTTTAATTATTATTGTTCATTTCTAACATAAATTCAAATAAATGCTAAACTGATAATGATAATGATTAGAAAATGAATTTTTAAACTTTAAATAAGTAATTAATTAAGTAACTAAAACTCATCGAAAAGTAAATTATTCCAATTTAGTAAGAACAACAATTTATTTATAACTTTTTTGTTTCTTCTAAAATCAATGAAATAATTGGTGAAAAGAGTGTGTGTACAGTTTATTTGAGATAATTCATTTGCGCTCAATTCAGCTGGCACAATGATCACTTCAAAATTTTTTTTTTTTTGAAATGAAATGAAATGAACAAAACGAAATGAGCAGAATGACACGAAAGAAGAAAAGAAATTTGCTAACTTTTCTAGTAGTTCGCTTCGTTTATTAAACTAAAGCTTAGAGATATTAGATGTAATATAGTATGTAGAGCAGATGTTTTCCCAATTTTTATCTTTCATTCCATTTCATTCCGTTTCACTTCCTCCATTTCATTCCGTTTTATTCCGTTCAATCTCCACTTCATTCCGTTTTCATTTTCATTTCGCTCTGTTTTATTCCGTTTCACTTCCATTTCGCTCTGTTTTATTCCGTCTCACTTTCATTTCATTCTGTTTTATTTCGTTCCGCTTTGTTCCGTTTCACTTCCATTCCATTCCGTTCCGGTTTCATCTCTTATTATACATCCTAACAATAACAATAATCATCGAAATGAAAAATGCTTTCTTGCATTTTTTTTCTTTCTTCCCTTTGTCTTTGTTTCTTTATTTTTTCTTTTTTTTTCTCTCAAAATTGTCCTTTTCAATGTAAATTTACATCAATGATTTTTCTACATTTTTGTTTTTTGCAGATTAAACAGGATTTTCTGTTAAAATTTTAGTAATATTAAAATTTAATCAAATTTTCGGTTCGATATTATCCGTTCAATAATGCATCTTTCTTTTTTTTTTTTGGGTGGAATTTAATAAGATTATTTACTTTATTTTTTCTTTTACCTTATTATTATTATTATTATTATTATTTTACTGCTATTATATTTGCAACATAACTTATAATAAAACGAAGATCAATTTAAGCATTGTCTTGGCTCATTTCTTAATTTATCTCAACATGACAAATAGTACCATTTTTTTTTTGCTAGGCTTATAATGATCTATTCGATTCAAACAAATCAGTCAATCATTTCTTTTTTTATTGGTATAGCATTTTTGATTTATTGTTGTTGTTGTTGTTTATGATAATTTCTTTTTTTTTTTTTGTAGTACAGAAATTTCTATGAATTCTCTGTGAAAACAATTTCCTCTAGATAGATTATTTTGAGATTTTAAAATCTAAAATGTTAAACGAAATCGAAAGAACTCATTTATTACACATTTAATATTTTTTTTTGTCGTTTTTATTTCGAGATTTTAATGAGAAATTAAAAAAAATAAATCGAGTAATATATCAAACCGAAAAGTGTTGCTTTTTTTTTCTTTTCCTTAAATCTAAGACTAAAAGTTTTTCAAAAATAATAAAAGAGTTGTCTGATTATTATTATTATTTACATTTGAATCACTATTATCATCTGAAAGTTGTTGTTATTATAATCACTGCTATCACTATCGAATTATCTGATTTTTATAAAAGAGTTGTTTGATAACAGTTATCATTTATATCTTAATCACTATTATCGTCTGAAAGTTATTGTTATTATAATCACTACCATGATAATCAGCAATATCATCAAAATTATCATTCAGTAGTTTTGCTGTAGTTAGCATATTCATTATTGTTATCATTATTGCTATTAACATTATCACTATCATTATTACAACAATGTTATCATCACTACTGCTATCAGTAATAAATGTGAATATTTGCTAAGAAGAATTTGAAATTTGAGATTGAGAAATGCAGTAAATAACACTAATGTTTTGTTCTCAGATTGTTGAAGTTATTTCCACAAGCTTTCATTATTTACTTCTTTACACATTTATTTGTTGACTTGCTGGGTTAGATCACTCACATCTTTCTTCTCTTCAATGTTGTAACTAGAAATCAATAATATTTGATTCAAGAAAACAAAGAAGAGAAGATTTTTGATATTAATGATAGTGATAATTAAGTGAAATAGTTTTTGATATTAATGATAGTGATAATTAAGTGAAATAGTTTTTGATATTAATGATAGTGATAATTAAGTGAAATAGTTTTTGATATTAATGATAGTGATAATTAAGTGAAATAGTTTTTGATATTAATGATAGTGATAATTAAGTGAAATAGTTTTTGATATTAATGATAGTGATAATTAAGTGAAATAGTTTTGATATTAATGATAGTGATAATTAAGTGAAATAGTTTTTGATATTAATGATAGTGATAATTAAGTGAAATAGTTTTTGATATTAATGATAGTGATAATTAAGTGAAATAGTTTTTGATATTAATGATAGTGATAATTAAGTGAAATAGTTTTTGATATTAATGATAGTGATAATTAAGTGAAATAGTTTTTGATATTAATGATAGTGATAATTAAGTGAAATAGTTTTTGATATTAATGATAGTGATAATTAAGTGAAATAGTTTTTGATATTAATGATAGTGATAATTAAGTGAAATAGTTTTTGATATTAATGATAGTGATAATTAAGTGAAATAGTTTTTGATATTAATGATAGTGATAATAAAGTTAATTAGTTTTTGATAATGGCGATAATGTTGATAAAGTTGAAGAATTTTTGATATAATGATAGTAATAATGAAATTAAATAATTTTTGTTATGAATGATAGTAATAATAAAGTCTATGAATATTCAATAGTTAATTACTTATTACAATATTGTTAAATTAGTGAGCAAGCAAACTGATTCAAATTATAAATCATTTCTGATAATTAATAAATTGTGACATATGGAAGATTAATAGCATATGTCATAGTTATTACAAATCAATTTGATAATAATAATTAGTATAATAATAATGATAATAATAATTGTAAATGACAAAGCTTAGTTATTTATTTAGATTTTCCGTTTTCTGTGATAATGATAATTCCTACATTTATCTTATCAGCTGTCATCTTTTAT